AGAGAGAGTTTCTGTTGTGATGTCTTTCAACCTTGAGCACTGGAATAATATTTGTTCAAACATTTCCCTCTCATCTTATAGTTTGTTATTCTTTCAAGGTAAGATTTGTTATAAAAACAGACAGGTAAAACAACCGTTCAGGAAATTAAACCTTTCTGTTTTCAGTTCGGTCTGTCACTCTCATCCAATCGTCTCATCTCGACAGTTTTTTTTTTTTGTTGTTTCAGGGAAAGGAGCTCACCATTGCTGAGATAGTGAACATATTTATTGGTCTTTTCTGAAACATTACTCAGTGATTGTTTAAGCTACATGTGCCATTTGAAGTGAGATTAAAAGAATTGGTCAACCTTAGCCTAAATTTTTTAATTCGTTTGTGCCCTACTTTGGAAAATATTGTGAATCAACCAAATCAGCTATGGGCTGTCAACTGACTGGTGACTTTACCATGGTAAATAAAAATTATGATTATATGTACTAATTGATTTTTAAAACAGAACATACAAGCTACACTTGTTTTTCCACTTCAATCAAAAGAGGCGGAAAGCTGAGCTCAAAGTCACACTTGTCAGGATAGGGGAGCAAGAGATCACTTTGACTCTCCAATCCCATCAATGCATTCTCAACATTATTTTTTGATTTTATTTTCCAACCGTTGCTGGCCGTCGATATATCAGGAGAGAGAGAGAGAGAACTTCTCAGTTTTTCTTGTCCATGTTTTGGAAAGTATATATTAGGAGAGGTATGGATATCGTCTGCATTAGTTCGATGTTCATTTGTCTTGAAAGAAGCACCAGCAAGTTACCATGGGTCAACAACTATTTCGCTTATCAAATCGGATTCATCAAGACCATATTGCTATTCAGGTTCACGTCCAACGCCGACTTTGACATGGTACACTGAACGCGTTGTTTTATCTTGTGTTTCAAGTGATCAAATTTTCGACTCAACCTTCGTTTAATTTTCATTGACTTTGATAGCACACGCCACCAATTGTCTTGAATAACCAGCATTTCCCTTAACTTTTGAGAGAGAAATTATTTAGATTTTTTTCATACAACAATAAGAATGGGAATGTGTTCCATGCGTTGTGAGGTTAAGAAAGGTACGTTAAATGATTGTTATTGTTTTATATTTCATGTATTAATTGGAGAATGTTAGTTTACATTCTAATCACCTTTTTGCTACTAATTTGATGTTTTTTTAAACAATTGTCTTTGAAATCTTTAAGGTTAGTTGCTGTAACAGAGGTTACGCTAATTCAAATGCTCATCCATATACTCCATAAATTTTGAGAACTCTTCACCAAGTTCCATAACTGCCTTGGAAAGCACAAGGACCACTTTTCCTTTCTTATTTCTAACTCTAGTCTTTGCAATTGCCATCTCTAACACAATTCTGTAAGAAATCAATTTGACAAGTTATTGAGACACATTATTTTTCTTTTGGTAACTGTTAATTTATGTTTCAGTATTCTTACCTCTCTAAAAATTCAAAGGTGAGGGGCATTTCTGAAGGGTACTTCAAGTCCAACACAAAGCAAGAATTCATCATAATAAGTATTGCATCCATAGCACTTTTTGTTTTGGCCAAGCAAACCTTGTCTACCATGACACAAAAGCCCTCATCGTGGTAAAAATCTCCTACAATCAAAATTTTATTACATAAGACGCCAGTGAACATACAGTAAGTATTGCATGTATGACTTATAAGACTGAGGACATAGATTGAAAGTTAAAAAGCAATTTACCTATTGAAACTATAGTTGGATGAATTGGAATGTCAAGAGTAGACAAATCATCTGGGTGAATTGTTTTCTGTAGGAAAGGAAACCAAAGGTTACTTTTTGCCTGTTACAAACAAAAATCCTTGTATTCGTTTATAAACCTACCTCAACTGTGTGAAGAAAGGAGGTGTAATCCTCTTTAAAATGATTTGCTAGCATAGTGAAACATAACAGCAACAGTGCAGAATTGCTTAGAAATTCTATTTCACTTTCCAGGTTCAGTTTCAAGGCGAGATTTTGGGTGTTGGCTTTAGAACAACTTATCAGGAAGAGCGACAAATACTGCAAGGGTTTCCTGTTACAAAATGCAGTCATTTTTTCTTGGAGGTTGATCCCTGACAGTCTTTTATTGTGAGTATTGATATGGCTAAGTTGAAAAAGGAAGGGCCACTCATTCAGCACACGCTGCAATGCCTTTATGTCATCCGGGTCATCTTCTTCTCTGTCTTCTTCACCCTCTTCACCCTCTCTTTGCGAATCCATGATTGCCTTCTTGCATTCAATTAGGTCTTGCCTCTGCAATTCATACGAATCTTTCATCATTTCTGCAACTGACTGCAAATTCCACCTATCTGCACCCTCCTCAAAGGTCCTCTTAAGTCTCTTCTTTAATCTCTTCTGGGCTTTCAGCATTGTCTGGGTCATATCTGGAGCATATTCTGTTGAGATTATTCCTGGAATTCCTTTTCCTTGTTGAACAATATTCCTTGCTTCTCTTTCTTCTTCGCCTGGCCTGCATTTATTGTCAGCACAGATACCCAGTTTCCTTGTGAAGTTTTCTATTCCATCACTAAACACTGTTCCATTGAGTTTTTCTACCAAAGCATTTTTGTATCTTGCGACGACCTGCGGGGCAACTTTGTGTTATTTCAGCATACTTGAAGGACACTACATGGCAATAATGGATGTGTGTGAGGTCCTGGTTTTACCTCTTTTGTTATGTCTTCATAAATATCTATGCCAGGTGATTGCTGTGCTGATGGGTGGCTTTCCCTATAAATTTTGTAGCTCTCCACAAGTTTTAGTGCAATTTGAAACCGCAAATCTTTAAGAACAGAAGCCTTAACCATCTTTTCTGCTTCATGTGCAGCTTTCATTTTGTCTAATGTGTCTTGAGGCAGTGAAGCCCAAGGAACTTGAAATGTGAAGTCTATACAAAATTGTTTTTAGTTAGAGTCAAGTCAACAAGGAAAAATCCAATGATATTTCATTCAAAATAATGCCAGTTATTTACCTGAATTTTGGCGAGTTCGACGTCTTCTTGTGTCAGTACTTGTCATCAGTCTTGATTCGGTACTTGATGAACCACCTGGAACAGATGATGCAAGTGGAAAATCTCTTTAAATGGATGAATGTTCTCTATTTACCAGTAATTTGAGTATGCAGAATAAAAAAGTTCTCTATTT